TAAAAAGTTAAAAAGAAGAGCATTTATTTAAAATAGAAATTTTTTCTAACAATATGCACTACCGTTCAAAAGTTTGGTGTCAGTAAATTGTTATTCTTTCTTTTTTTGAAAGACATTAAAAATCGTTCTGATCCCAAACTATTGAGCGGTAGTGTATATATGTTTTCATGATTGTGCACCATATACCCCTACTGTATAATAACACACAAACAAGAAGAGCAACCATTCATGTTTGACGTCTATATTCTTGTCGCACTGAGGGTCTGACCTGGTTCTGATCTCGGCCAGAAGACGCACCGCAGCCATCACAGGACTGGATCCGTCTCCAGACGCAGGCAGAGACGTGTGGATGGACAGACTGCCCTCCTGCGGCAGCAGCATGGACTGAACGGCCTGAACAACCTTCTCTGTGATGGACAGCTTGAGCAGCGGCAGAGCCTGACCACAAACACACAGAGCTGCATGAGAGACGTGACAGCAGACAGCTTCAGAAGTCCTCAGGCAAAGCCAAGTTTATTCATATCTCACTGTGGACTTTCAAAGTGTCAGTCTCTCTGGTTTTAGCACAGGTTGCATTTCTTTCTTGCAGTAAGTTAGTCAGCTCAATGGTAAGTGAAAAGTGGGTTGTTACTTTATATTTGGGTCAAAGACGTTAAGATGTCCGCATCAAAAGAAATGTACAAAAGTGATTATGTCCATAGAAAGCACATTAAATGCAAGCAAAGTGTCTACTTTTAAGGTTTCAAATAAGTTTTTGGAGAATAAAAAGTCAAAATTTGGTTGAAATAATGTTACATTGTCATTCAGTGTAACACAATACCTATGTAAAAATTCAAACAACATGCTTATTTTGACGTGTACATATTAAAATATATAAAAGAATAAGGGAGCATATAAAATGTTATTGTGTTTTAAATTAGTAAAAATTCTTACTGACAAACGGGCAAAACCTAGGATAGTGGCAAATTTAAAAAAATGTGATTAGTCTTTTAATATGTCATACATTGATTTTTGTTGTAAATATGCCTGACGAGATTGTTACACTGAATGACATTTTAGTGGGTGTCTTCTGTAAATCAGGGGAAAATGTATGATATTTATTTTTTGCTCGGAAAAACAAAAACAAAATCGCAGGTAAATTAAACAGAAAACTTTTTAACATTTTTTTGGGAAAAACAACAATTTAAAGCAGTATCACACTTTTTGTTTTTATGCTTAAACCCTTTTTTGTCTTTGACCCATTTACAAATTGGGGCATGTTTGTTAACTAACTAACTAGTTAAGATGATTACACATCATTAATAAGAGCAATCTGTTTCTAATTAAAAAAAATAATAATTAATTAATTAACATCATGGTGGAAAACTTGTTTGCAAAAAAAATTCTGTCATGGTTTTAAAAAAAGAAGTTTGTTAACTAACACTAAAACTATTACAAATACAACATTTATAAAAAAAAAAAATTGTTAATTGAAATAAGGTTGCAATTAAATAAGTTCTAAATATTAGATGGAAAAACCTAAACTTAAAATGGAAACAAATCAAGTTCAACCTGAAATACAAAAATTACTAAAACTTAAATAGAGCACACTTTCATATAACATACTTATTATACTTTAAAAAAAATGCACTGTGTTATAATGATTTAAAATGTTCTTTTGAATGACATCAAGTTTTAAGAAGTACACTTATTTTGATGTGATGACTAACATAAGCACACGTATAAAGTACTTGATTGATATTAAACTTAAAGTTAATATATTTTAAATGTACTAAATTGCAAATTCCATCATTACAAATATATTTGAATACATGACATACAGGTTTCAAGAGAAATTATATTTAAGCATATTTTAGTTGATCATAAATGCTTGACAGTACATTCAGCAGCACTTTAACCATATTTCAAAGACAATAGAAGTATGAAATCACATATAAAGATGTACTGTACTTAAGTCCTACTTAGCTGAGCTAACTGTATTCAACATCAATTTAAATTATAATAAATTGTAATTTAATAGCAATTCATATGCAATTAAGTGTCTAAAACCATTACATTCACTTCACGCTTCAAGGCCCGGTTTCACAGACAGGGCTTAGACTAAGCCAGGATTAGATCAAAGTTCAATTAGGACATTTAAGTAATTTTTATAAACATGCCTTAGAAAAAAGCATTACTGGTGTGCATCTTAAGACAAAACAAAGGCTCTGATATATTTTAAGATCAGTCAGTGCAAGTTTCTTTCAGTTGAAACAGCTCAGACTTACAGTTTAGTCTAGAATTAAGCCTTGTCTGTGGAACCGGGGAAAAGTGTGTTATTTCCATTACAAGTTCTGTTTTTAAAAGTATGCTAAAGTGTACTTTATTTTCACAAGGGACTAACTTGTGTCTATGTCACACAGTTGAAGTGGATGAGGCAGTTAAACTGTGACCTGAAAACATTTTCATTATTCAATGCAAAGGTAAACAGCAATGCTAAATATATGAAACTCTGCAGTTCTACAGAGGTTTGCGGTGTGATCACCTCAGAGCGAGGGGTGCAGAGGCGGGATATGGGCATGGTGAGGACATCCGATGCTTTGCAGGTGCGCCGGTACTCGCAGGAAGGAAACCTGACCGTGGCGATCCCCTCCTGCTCATTAATGGACATGACCACCCCAACACTGTCCAACACACCTTTACCCACCACCTGCCACCGAGAACAAACCCTTCAGCAAGACACTAGAACAACTGAAATAATTCATCTGCGAAAAACGCGTCATCTGCTAAACTATGCATGTTAAGATGTCCGCATCAAAAGAAATGTACAAAAGTGATTATATGTCCATAGAAAGCACATTAAATGCAAGCAAAGTGTCTACTTTTAAGGTTTCAAATAAGCTTTTGGAGAATAAAAAGTCAGTGTAACACAATATTTATTTAAAAATTCAAACAACATGCTTATTCTGACGTGTACATATTAAAATATATAAAAGAATAAGTGAGCATATTAAATGTTATTGTGTTTTAAATTAGTAAAACATTCTTACTGACAAACAGGCAAAACCTAGGATAGTGGCAAATTTAAAAAATGTAAAATTACAACTATTTAGTATTTGGGGTGAACGTAATTAGTCTTTTAATATGTCATACATTGATTTTTGTTGTAAATATGCCTGACGAGATTGTTTCACTGAATGACATTTTAGTGGGTGTCTTCTGTAAATCAGGGGAAAATGTATATTTATTTTTTGCTTGGAAAAACAAAAACAAAATTGCAGTTAAATTAAACAGAAAACTTTTACAGAAAACAACAATTTAAAGCAGTATTACACTTTTTGTTTTTATGCTTAAACCCTTTTTCGTCCTTGACCCATGGATTTTTGCATTACAAGTCAAAAGTTTTTGAACAGTAAGATTTACATTTTTTTTAAAGAAGTCTCTTCTGCTCACCAAGCCTGCATTTATTTGATCCAAAGTACAGCAAAAGCAGTAAAATTGTGAAATATTTTTACTATTTAAAATAACTGCTTTCTATGTGAATATCTGTTCCAGTCTTCAGTGTCACATGATCTTCAGAAATCATTCTAATATGCTGATTTGTTGCTCAACATTTATTATTATTATTATAATTATCAATATTTAAAACAGTTGACCATATATATATTTTAAAGGATTCTTTGATGAATAGAAAGATCCAAAGATCAGCATTTATCTGAATTAATACGTCTCAGAAAACAAGACTTATATCTTATAAGTTATTTTATAATAACTTAGTAAGTTATTTTCCTCTTAAGTAAATGTATCGTGACTTAATACTGTTTGAAAACGCTATCTATCCTGTATAATATTCTATAATGGTGAGTGAATCCCAAATCTTGTGTTCTCTTATGAATGCCAAAAGCACTGGGCTGTTGATGTTTCTGATGTATTTTAAGTACACACTCGTGCATACTTTTTAGGTTTTATGATTCTTTGTTTCGTTTTTCAGTGGTACACAGCGCCACCTAGTGGACTGGAGGGTCTGAAGGATCACGTTGCACTGAAGACTGGAGTAATGATCCTGAAAATTCAGCTTTGATCACAGGAATAAATTATAGTTTAACATATAATCACATAGAAAACAGTTATTTTAAATAGTAAAAATATTTGACAATTTTACTGCTTTTGCTGTACTTTGGATCAAATAAATGCAGGCTTGGTGAGCAGAAAAGACTTCTTTAAAAAAA